GTCAATTTTATAACTGTATATTCTAGTATGGAACGTGTTAAACAGCATCAATATACCAATACCTTGGTTGACTGCCGAACAAAATGGTAGTCTAAAAATCGATTAGCACGATTCCCGTGTTAACCCGTCCGTGTACTCTCTCTTTCTCTCTCCCTCTTTCTCTTTACTCCCCATAAACCTCTCGCGTGTCGTGGTCACGTTGCATTAATAATTCATTTCCGCGTGTTGTGCGTATTTCGTGTATCACGCGAATAATCAATTAATTTCCGTGGAAATAGGTTTTACCGTAATGCCTCGTAAAATTCTACCACGCGTTGCTATTAAACGCTCTTCCCACCCGTTACTCTCCTTGAACAGTACTCGCCTTGTGTTTCATGACATTGTTCTTGCGTTTCGCTATAAAATTAAACGAAATGGCAGATTGTCATCGAACGTACACCCTCGTACATAAATACCAGGACATTCGGAGCTATTATACACGCAGAACGATAACGCTTTATAGATAATATATTTTCTTGGATTTTTCGAAACCTTTATTGGCATGTACAACTCGGGGCAAGAGTTATTACGTTGTGGACGTCGGAAATTTAAAGTTTTTGTTTAGATATTGCTTGCGTGTTACAAGAAACAAGTTAAGAAATTTCTATGACAAACTTAAAAATTATTTAACTTGTGGACATTTAGGTTAAGTGATTTCGGAAGATTCTTGGAATTTTGGAATTTGGTTATATGGTAGTTTGAAGAACTGGAAATTTGGGAATGTGTAAATTTAAATATTTATTGTGGAAATTTAGGAAATTGAGGCATTTGGTTATTTGATCATTTGGACATTGGGACATTTGGGGATTTGGGGATGTGGTCATTTGGTAATTTTGCTGTTTAGTTATTTGATCATTTAGTAATTCAGATATTTGATAATTTAGCTTTAATTACTTAGGTATGTTGCTGTTTAGTTATTTGATCATTTAGACATTTAGACATTTGGGAGATTAGCTATTTAATTACTTGGTTATTTTGCTGTTTGGTTATTTGATGATTGAAACATTTAGACATTTGAATATTTAGAGATTCAGCAATGTTTGAAAATAGGGATATGAAATTTCAAAAATTTAAACATTAGAAATTAAGGAATTCAATAATTTTTTAAATTTTCGAAGATTAGCAATTCGGAAATTTAAAAATTCAACTATCTGTTTCAGACATTACAAATTTCAGAATACAAAAATGAAAAATTTTCTAATCCTCCAGCTCAAAAAGATCAATACCTAAAACTGCATCCCTTGCATGTCGGTGCACCTCGCATAGTTACGCATCACTGAACTAAGCGCACATATACTTGACAAGTTATTAATTCCTGAAATTATTGCTATTCTATGCTTCATACACAATTTTTCTCAAGACTGGTAATGGCTACAATAGGAAGTCGTTACAGAATACCGGTAACCGTAATACCATTGTAAGTCAAATCGATGCACGCGAAGTGCTTTCGAAACTCGCTCGCTCCTCCCACTTTAGAAAATAAATAATAAGCGGACCAAGTAAGCGGTAGTTCGCGTTGTTTGTGAGGCGATACGGAAGCTGCATTAGCCACGGTATTTTCGCTTACGAAAGAGAAAGGATACGCTTTTCTTATTTTCTTTGCAACGCAAATGATGTATAAATCTGACTTTTAATTTGGGCGTATTAAATTGAGTTTCAAATTTCACGTGTCAATTTACATTTTAATTTCGTTGTATAAATCTGTCATAAATTTGACGTATATATCTCAGTTTCACATTTCATAAATTAATTTAGATTTTAACTTCGATAAATTGGGGTTTTAATCTTGATGTATTTTGAGGTTCATATTTGACGTGTATTATATGTGTTTCAAGTCTGACCTATACATTTAAGGTTTGATTTCATGGTATGGGTGTGAACTTTATGCATAAAGGTGTAAATTTTATGCATAAATCTCAGTTTCAAATTTGACATGTATGTGTTGAGTTTCAAATTTGACGTATATCTATGTGTTTCAAGTTTGTCCTATACATTTAAGGTCTGACTTCAAGGTATGGGTGTGAACTTCAAATGTTATGCATAAATTTCAATTTCAAATTTGACATGTATGTTCCAGTTTGAGAATTAAGTTATAACTTTGACATTCCATTTTAATATATAAATCTGAATTTCAAACTTGACGAGTAAATTCGAGTTTCAATTTCGGTATACGAATATCCTTTAAATTTTATCTAATTTGATGTACAAATTTGATGTGCAAATTTAAATGTCAAATTTGACTTAGAGATTTAAATTTTAATATCGAAATATAGATATGAATGTCGAGTTTGATGTATAAATCTCAGCCTTAAATTTGTAGTACAAATTTGAAGTTTAATGTATAAGTTTGATTTTCAAAGGCAAAGTCATGTACATAAGAAAGAAGAAGAATGAAATGACACATGTCGACATATTACGTCAAAGTCGAATTTCACTAGTAACTTCGTAACCCAATTTTATTGGTAAGTTGGTAAGATCTACAGAGTGTTAAAGATTGATACAAGATTCGATTAAAAGAAACGCGCGAGCTTAGTATGAAAAGCAGTTAGCGGCATATCATGAGAAGAGAGAGCGCTTCAGCATCGAGGAGAATCTTTCTCACGGAGCTATAGGGCAAAGATGTCTGCATATGTCCGACGACACGATTATGATTTATGCTGAATCGAATCGAGACTGATTTATGAGAACGTAATGTTCTTAACTCTGGAATATACAGGGTGTTCATTTTACGCTTTCCTCGCAAATGCTACGTGAACTAAAATATTTTACTGTTTTTTATCGACATAATCGTTTACGTTTGCAATGGTCTTCCATAACCTAGCCGTGAACGCTATTACTCTTTGACACCTTATTAAGATTATTTATAAATAGTGTAATTAAGTGTAATTTTATTCATGAACTACTGTAATTTTATTCGTGAACTACCGTAATTTTAGTCGCGATCAGATGTTCAAGTAAGCTTGATTATGTTATGAAAGATGTGAACGATATGAAAGTACAATTCGAGTACTGGTCGAGTTTTCTCAACTAATCTGCGTAAATAAGATAACATATCTGCATGACAAATAATTTACATTAAAGTGAAATTATGTGCGATTTGCATAGGTTTACACAATCGAACGAAAAGAAATAGATAAAGCTGTAACGTTATGGATGCTTTAGATTAATGCAGGTAGGAGTTACCGAGGTTCGACTGTATCGCATAAAAATAAAATGGAATAGTACTTAAGAGAACATATTGGAGACAGGAAGTTAACTACTATTCGTTTCTTATGGGCCTTCATTAGCGGTAGTATTACTGGTTATTAAATTATAATGCATGTAGTTTCATAAGCTGCCTTTATGATATTATTCCCTAAGGTGCTATTTGAATTAAGATTATTGGGAGAAAAAATGTATTCAAAGCTTTACATATTCAGTTAATAAATATTAAACAGTGGTATTATGATTATTTAATGTAAATTGGTAATGTGAATATTAAATCACACTCGCTTTCTCTCAATTTTCTTTAAAAATATGTTTTAAGTATATTTGAAAATCGTATACTTTTTAAATACATTTGAAAAATGTATACTTTTTAACTGTATTTAAAAATCGTGTGATTTTTAATATATTTGGAGAACGTTTATTTTTGGGTCATATTTATGAGACGTGTACCTTTGAAATACATTCATAAAATATATGTTTCTGAATTTTATAAAGACACATTAGCTACTAATCAATGATAAATGATTGATAATAATAATAGTTATAAATTTTTATGAATTGCATGTTGTAATTAACCAGAAGTACAATATATAAATTAAGTCTCAAGTTTTAGATTAATTGAACACACTTATACAAGTATAGTGATTATAATATTATACACTCTAAGAACCTCTTGTAAGTAGTATTAATCAATTGAAAATGGATCAAGAAAGAACTTGGATTAAAGAAACTATTTGTACACAAGTAGAAAATCAATGAGAATATTAACAAGAGCTATTGTTTCTAATATATTTATTACTGAAAACCCAAATATTTTGACATTAAGCTAAGAAAAGCTGAGATCAGATTGAGTTGTATTGGAAATATGAGTAGCCTTTCGATGTAGTTTGTAACGCACGGCCATTTTGTTTGCAACATCACGCGTTAAATGGCGACCGTGTTGTCTCAGATTATTCCTTGCTCTTATTATTGATATTATTATTACACGTTTCACTTTTTTGAATTTAACAAATTTCAGTAGTCTTCTTACAGCACTTTCAATTTTAAATTAGAATAATGTCAATTTGAAAATTTATTGCATTTAATATAATATAAATTGGACCAATCTATATCTGGTATTGAAAATTTATTGAGCATAAATTATTTAAAGTGCTCAGTTCAAAAGGTTATAATGATGTGATTAATGACTATAAATTATTATGGATTATTGACAAAAACAAGGTAATGGCTGTAATGTAATTTCTAATTTTCAAAAACAAATTACTCACACGCAAATGTAATATATAAATATATCTCTTCAGTAAAACACAAAGCAATGCAAGCTGTATATTCACTTACTCCATGAATGTGAACGAGGCTTAATAAAATCATAAAAATTATTAAAATTATTAATTTATGTATATAATAGACACTGTCCGTATTCATAAATTTATTGGTAGAGAAAGAAGTCGTAAATTTCTACTAAAACATATAAACAAATAAAGATACACATCAGACAAGAATATAAACTATCGATTCAATAAAACCAGAATTATATGACACTATGATACTTTTGCCTGTTTTAAAAATCTTTTATAACGCCAATTAGTTAATAATTTCCTAGCATTTAATAGAATATAACTGTACACGATAAGTAACTCGTCTTTTTATTTCTGCATTTGAAAATAGTATTTTTTTTGACATTTCTATTCGAGTTTCGAATGGTTTGATTATCGAATTATATAGTTTCTGAAATGGGCATTTTGATGTCAATAATAATTCATCATTTTATCTTTTCTTTCTTTTCTTTTTCTTTGATTTTCTTTTTGTCGAGGGATCTTCCAAGGGAACACGTGGAGGCTTAGGAGGTGGACTACCTTCGGCAAGACGATTAGCCACCGGAGAAATTCCAGCGATATCTTTGATCGAAATTCCCGGTGAACGGGTATCACCTTTCATCTTCTGATTTCCGTTATTTGCTAAATTACTCGCGTATGATCCCAGCATTCCTGTCGATTTCTTCGACGACTCTTTAAAGTTGCATTTATACTCGGGCCCCTCGGGCTCGGTTTTGAAGAAGAAGCAGTTGGGCGCGAGAGCGGTATATGTTAACAAGCATCTAAAATGTTTATATTTAACTATAAACAATATTGTATATATTGCAAATATTGTATACTAATGTAACATTTAATCATATTATATATTAATATGATACTTACTTATATTATATATTAATAAAATATTTAATTATGTTACATACTGATATAAGATTTCAAGAAAAATAGATATTCAATTTCAATGTGTTTACTCTCATGTAGATTAGTATTAATCCATATTATAAAGAATACTTGTAGTTGGTAAATTTTTATTTAGGAAGTGAATATTAAGAAGGTTAATGATTATTTTAAAATAATGAAGTATGTAAAGTAATTATTAATGTTTTCTAATATTTTTTAATGTTATAGAAAATGTTATAGAGAGAAATATTAGAAACACGGTATTAGAAGAAATAAACAATTTTGTGAAAGAAAATGATTTAACATATTGGAAATAAAATATAAGGATTATATGATTTACAAGTAGATAACTATTTTTACTATTTGTGTATTAAATAGTTAAAACTGTAATATATACAGCCATATGTGCATCATTTAAATAAATATTGTTTGAAAATGTGTTATGAATTATAAGGAGATAGTGTCATGAATTACAAGATTTTAAAATTAGGGTTTATTTGGTTGATTTTAAAAAATATTTTTGATACCTTCCTAAATTTGAAATTGTTATATCAAGATCTACCTCGCCGGCGAAACTGTGTCCAGAATCTCTGAGTTCAAATGGTCCTCTAAACTTAAAAGACGATGGATTTTCAATACGTTGGGAACCCTAGAATATAAAAATTAAATTATTGTGATGAATCTCGTATACTATAATTAATGATATGATGATTAGTATATTAATATTTGAAAAATTTTATGATTGATATTTTAGCTGTATTAATAATTATATTTTTTAATTAATATAAAACATTAAAATGAGTAAAAATATTGGTTGAAGTTATGATTGATCGAATTGACACGATTATTAATTAGAAATTAAATTTCTAGAAATCCAAAAGTAAATTATATAGAAACTAGATAAAAATATGTAGAAATTAAATTGGTGATTAAATTACAATTATTAATTAAAAGAGATTACAAAACAGTTAATATTGATTTTTATTTACATTAGATTCAGTCAGACGATTCCTATTTTTGATTAAACGAAATTAATTTCAAAATTAAATTATTATTCAGTATTCAAAATTTCAATTAGCAATCATTAATTAATAAATTCCTGCAATAATCTTTCAGTCCTCAACATAGCAAGTTTAAATTAAATATTAAGCTTTAATTTTCAATTAGTAGATCGTTCTATGAACATTTATATGTTAGTTATAACTTAAAATCGTACTCAATTATCGATTACAGTTTGATCACTTATTGATATGATCAAAAACGTCTGCTCCTTAACAAAGTCGTATCAATATTCCCATATTTTTACGCAGAACAAATTTAATCCGATAAATATTTTATATATAAATCTTTTAATGAACGTAACTCGTAAATTTAAACGAGAGATATCTTACTAAGTCGCAAGCACATCCGCTGAGATGCGTTTGAAGATAACAGACAGGAAAACTGTCCTCCACATTGAAAACTCCAATTGATAACGGAACTCTCTTCATCTTCATGACCAATTCCTCAGAAGACATCGAGAAATGAATAGACTGGCCATTATTGAATTTGTAAATGAAAAGATTATCGTCCTCATTGCGAGATCGTTTGCGTTCCTTAATTTCTGTTGGCGGAAAATTAAGAAAGACAACTTTCACGAAAAGCGTTGCTCCGCCGGTATCGATGTACACCTCTTTATTTAAAGTTAATTGTGATACGAAAACGTCTAAAAGATACAATCCGAACATAACAGAATTCTGTACAATGAAGCACAGAAAGCGTGTTATGACGAATACTTATTGCAAGGTTAGAGTACACTTGAAAATTTGTGAAGTGAAGTTGCGTCGGTCAAATAAAAATTTGTGGTTAGATCGTTTCTGTATATTTATGGATTAGAGTTGAACATAATATACATTCTTTAATTTTACAACGAAAAATAACTTCACTTAATTTGACGATTTAATGTCTTTGCAGTAAGAACTTAATTTTTATTTTTTAATGACAATTAATTGTACTTATCAATTTCACTTTTTTACAATAACAGTATAATTTTAATTTCCCTTAATTTAGCAATAAAAACCATTCGCATATCAAACACGAGTTGTATTATTTTAACAATATTATTAGAGAATTAAAATTAGCCAAGTAAAAGTTCGCTAAAAATTGTGTATTTAAAACGAAATTAAAGATATTCGTTGTTTAAAGTGTAGACTAAATACTGAAAGTAAAAATGGACTTTTAGATATTTAAACTTCAGTTACGTTAAATGTTTAAATTCAAATTTTCTGATTGAAGTACAATACGCAGTCAGGGTTAGGAACCGCGGAACCGGTTTCAGGACTATGAATCCATAGTTCCGAGCTGAAGTAATTTACTGTTGGACATGTGAATTAATAGACTCGTTTGTAATAATTGTCTAAACATCGTTAACCGTTTGTGTCCGAATTATTTATTTCAGAGATTGTAAATGAGAAAGATATAGGGGATCATTTACGCGCAGTAAATGAGACGATGGACACATTATTATTCTGGGAAACAGTATTTATAGGACACTTGCAATATTAAGCATCAGATTTTTATTTATGTTAAAGTTGAAATCAATTCATTCGACTACAGTTGAAATTTGTGTACGAGATGGGGCGTTTCAATCATTTCCTTATTGTACTCTCGTTAATTTAATAACACTGCCAAATTCTTAAATTCCTAAATTTCTACTCCACAAATTTTCTGAATTCCGATATCACTATGTTTTCAAATTCCTATATTTTCAAATGTGTAGGCCTTTAAATCTTGATATTCCAAAATCATTAAATCCCTAAATTTTTTAATTGTTAAATGTACAAGTCCTTAAATCTCCAAGACCCAATCCCAAGTCTTCAAATCTTCAAGTTCCCAAATCCCCAAAACCTCAAATTCTCAAATCGCCAAGTCCTCAAGTCCCCAAGTCCCCAATCCCCAAACCCCAAACTACAAGTTCTCAAGATTCCAAATCGCCAAATTCCCAAATCTCTAAGTTCCCAAATCCTCAAGTCTCCACATCATCAAGTTCCCAAATCCCGAAGTCCCGAAATAGCCAAGTCCCCAAAACCTCAAATTTCCAAATCCCCAAGTCCCCAATTCTTCACGCCCCCCAATCCCCAAATCTCCACGTTTTCAAGTTTCCAAATTCCCAACTCCCCAAATTCCCAAATCTCCAAGTTCTCAAATCCTCAAATCCGCAAGTTCCTAAATCCCCAAGTCCCCAAATACTCAAATCCTCAAATCCCAACCTTCTGAAATTCTTAAACTATTATTATCATTTCCTAAGTTTAAAACTTCACAAATTCGAAAATCTTCGAATTAGAACCAACAATCAATATTTCCTCTTTCTCGTAGGTCACTAATTTCCCTAGGGAAATCCAAATGACATCATCATTTTCCCCACGGATGCCTACCGTGTTCATCTACCTATTCAATCCATATATCTGGAATCTAGAATTTTAATCGAACAATCTGTGCTGTGTTAATCAACGCTTTACCGTGTTTAGCAGGGGGAAGGTTAATAAGCAATTGAATATGATATACGAACAACTTGCAAGAATTCTTGGTACTATTATTTTTCGTGGGAGCTGTTAATTGGAGTTCAGAAAACATTCACCAAGGAACTAATTATTATTATTAAGACGTTCAGAGGCTTGTGGCGCTAGCTCATATCCTGTCGGTATTCGTGTTATATTTACCAGTTCGTATCACGCAATTAATATAACATCTAATAAATTTTTCGCGTTTTCCTGATGTTTCCTTTGACATATTTTATACGCTAGGCTTGTGAACCAGGATATTTCATGTTTTTATATAATGTCGACAGGTTACCGAACGGTGCAGTGATTCGGGCCATGTACTGTTTGCAATATAAATGTTTAGTGCATTTTCTCGATCTGATGTTTACTTATCGAAATTATAAATGTCTCTAATACCAATAAGGACGCTTAACAGATTCTGTTTTACGAGAGCCACTTTTTCGTAATTATTCATTGATAAGGGCAAGGTAAATTGCACATATTTTTGTGTTCTGATTAGAAGAAATATGGGTGGTTGTAGGAAATTATTCATAACAGTAAATAGAAGAGACTGATTAAAAACGCGAATACCGCGAATCGAATGGAAAAAATTTTAAAAAGATTCTGATAAGAATCTGTATAATAAATTTAAAGTTTTATTTAAATTGCAGACAAATCATATTAGTTTCTTTACTGTGACGCTGTTATTATTTTATTATTGCACTGCTATATATTTGGTATAGAAACCATAAATTCTACGAACTGCAAAAATGTCTCATTTTTGTGTCACGTTTGTGTCATCTGTCACTAATGACCATAGCAGTGAAGGTGTTAAGCAAAGTGTGATGTTCGCCTCAAACGAGTAACGTGCCAGGTCAAGGTGTAGTCCTCGTGGGGAACTAGGAAGAACATCTGGTTGAATGTTCCGATGAAAGTAACATGATTGTACGTTCATTCGTACCTTATTGCGGTGATAAACAACACTGTTAATTTTCAGCCGTGTTCAAGCGACGACGTTAACCCCTGCTACGATATGATATCTCAATGACGGCTGTTAAATTTGCATTGCGCCAGGAGCGTCGCTGGAACAACGGTAATGTTAACAAGGGAAGGTGTTAACGAGCGAATGACTCGACAAGTGCGAACAAAAAGTCCAGGCAGTAACAATAACACTTGTCGTAATTCTACCCCGTTTAAATTTTTATCCGGCTCGTTCAAACTCTTGGAAACCAGAGCCAACAAAGGTTGATTCACTCTATCGTTCCTAGATCGTGTATGGCGGTGTTTGGAAAATTTACGCGTCGATTCAAAGTGATCTGAATTGGAGCTGAATTCGAAAGCGACGTGTTTCCTTTCGGTTTGTAAAATAGTGATAAGTGAAATGGTGAGCGAAAGAAAGAAAAGTTTTACCGGTATTTCATAACTGAGCGTATATTTGGATAGTTAAGAAGGTTTATATATACATATGCTTATGCTAAACGACTATTGATGCAAATACTAAACACAGTATTCGTCGTAATTTTACTACTTGTTTATTTCCAAAAATTACATTATTTTGTAAGTCTTTTATTTCACCCATTTCGCAAAAAAATCGTGTATAATACAGGCAGTAATATCAGAAAATTAACTTTATACCAAACAGTTACTCAGAGTTTCTTATCTTTATTTAATAAAACACTCGTTGATAATTATACCATTAATAAAAACATAGGTTTTTTCTTGTAATACGTAAGTACATGTATTCGTGTCGTTCCTCAATTTTACCCTTCATATCTTTCCATCGATAATTATATGTTGAAAGGTTCGAAATTTCATTACCATGTGCTAAAAATCTACCTACTTTATCGTTAACGAGTTTAAAGACATTAAGACTGAATCTGACCAAATTATATGATAAATAAAACAAACAAAATGGATGTGTATAGCTAACACTTGAAAGAATATTTAATACACACGGTTTATACACTATGTTTCTTTGTAACATAACTATCAATAATTTTGAATTAAAAATTTCCTATTTTATTACTTATGTAAATACAGAAGCCTGATAGAATCAAGCACGTTAGCCTGCGATATTTTATCTCCTATATCCTTCATGACTTTTCAGATTAAACTTCAAGATTCGTTAGAAGTTTAATGCCTACCATAATGATAATATGTATTCACACGCAAATAACCAGAAAAGTGTGTTTTAAATCAAACGAACCAGTTCCGGTTAAATTAACATGGGTGTGCAAGAGGAAAGAAAAATGGTCGTTCCATGCAGGACGATACTTTTCTAATAGAACCGTCATGGAAATAAATTTCTATCCAGGATCGATTTACAGGTTGCTGATGTTTCCCACAAGTGGCTGAGCATCGCTTTACAAATAGATTAAAAGCAGGATTCCATCAGGAATCGTGCACCGTAGCATCGATACGTTAACCTGCTCGTAGCCTCGCGTCAAGCTAATCTTCGACGCAATCGCGTTTGAGAGGCATAAGCGAGTCGAACCATCACACGGTCTTCCATAGACGCAAAATAAATTCCACGGAGACGGTCTGACAAGGATCCTCGACGGACGGGAAGTGTCCCTCTTAGTTATGGTCGTGAACAACGTAAGCTGTGCAGAAAATCGCCGATAGGTGGAAACGGTGGAATCATAACTTCTTACGGGGCGACGATTACTCGAGCATCGCCAGATAAAACCCAGCCTCGTCCTAACGCGTTCACCTTTCTCTTTCACCCTCTTAATCCTCCTCATTTTACCTCCTCTTTCTCCACCGTTTTCTCCGTCCTCGTCTTCTCGGTTCACCCGGTGTTTTTCTTCCTCTTCTTTTTCTTCGTAGTTTCTTTAGGCTCGAAGCGAATCTGCTCCGGCTCGCATGCGAGAAAAAGGTGGGCACCGTTTTGCCGATAACGAACTGGTTAACACGCGTTCATTATCCGCGGCCACGTAGGTATATTAACCAGGCTATCCCGACCGGATTCTCTACTTGCCAGAGGCCACCTCGTAATCATTTCTTTCCGTTTCCCCTTCTTATAATTAGATACGCAATCGGTCACACGCTGCTTTATCGAATTCCATTGGAATACCGGGTGCACTGCCTCTGATTATTCGGATAACTAATTGGACCGTGAGTTATAGCACCTTCCTCGTTTTCGGTGGTCGAACTTTCCGATCATTTAGTATTACGGTAGCGAAGTCTTTTCTTTCTTCTTTATAATGCCCAAACTT